GTACTGGACTGCAAAGTCAGTTTGAACTGCAAGGTCAACAGTTCAAGCTTACCAGCTGCTCCTTGGAAACCCTGTACAGGGTTGCTATGTGTAAGAACAGACTTGACACACTTAATGACAGCAACATGTGTATTACTATGTGCTTATTACATGGTGAGGAGCTGTAGAATAAGCAATTGACTGCTAATCATAAAGTTTCAGATTCAAACCTATCAGCCACTCCTTGGAAACACTATATAGGGTCACATCAGTTGGAACCAATGCAACAACACATAAAAACAACAAGTGTCAGGTTCTGTATTAAGTGTGGTTTGTTGTTTTTAAGTGTTGTCAAGTCAGTTGTAACTCATACTGACTCTGTATAGGGTTTCCAAGGAGCAGCTGGTGGGTTTGAACCACCGACCTTGTGGTTCACAGTCCTATAATGCCACACCAGGAGTCCCATATTAAGTGTTATACATATGAATTCTCTAATCAATTCCTCTATTAGTTCCATGTGATAGGTATTACTATCTATATGCAGATAATAAATAACTGGAGCCTTAAAAAGGTTAAGTAACTGGCCCAAGTCCCTCAAGCAAGTAGTGTAACCAGAATTTCAATCTCAGAATCACCCCAAAAGTCTACTGCCTCTAGATCATATCCCGTGGGAGACTCAGCCACGGCTGAGAGACTGGGGAGACTCAGCCACGGCTCGTCTTCCCAGTTACCTGATAACCTAAAAAATTTCCCAATTAAAATATTATTTTGAGTATTTGCAAGCAATATGCTAACACAGTTGATCAAGTCTATGAAAGCTTTAAGTAACTACTGTTGCCAGACAAAAAAAAAAAACACCTGAAACAAAAAGGATAAATATTTTAAATATATTTGTAAACTATGGATACAACAACAACACTTACTGTTATAAACCAGTAGGAATTGGCTCTGTAAATCAATTTTGAGAAGAAGGCAAGCTGATTCACTGGTGCTATAACATGAAGGTGTAAGTGAGAAATGGAACAGAATGGCGGCATATGGAAACCCATCCTAAAACAGAAAGGGTAATTGACAATTACTGTCTGTTCTAAAATAGCTTAGACCTATTTTTCAGGTTAAAATACATAATTATAAAAGACATACAAAATAATACTCATTTTATTTATACACCAAAATAGTCACAATTTCTCTTCCTTTCATATTAAGTTCACAATAACAAAAATTCTTCATCAGGGAAGAAGGCCTTAACAGAAAATTATGCTTCACCT